TGATGATACTGCTTCTAATACAATTAAGTGGTTGTCCTACGAGCCTAAATGTAACATAATAACTTGGAGTGGATATGATATTAATAAAACTTCATTTTATACAAAGTCAAAGGATGACCGTAGTACCACGCAAAATAGTGGGGTTATGATTGTGGCAGAGTCCATGCACTTCTCTAGTTCTAAAGATAAAAACCCGGTTATGGCATCTGTACCCTACTTTGGGGTGATTGAAGAGATTTGGGAAGTTGATTATGTTGTTTTTAAAGTTCCTGTATTTAAATGCAAATGGATTGATATTAACAGTGGTGTAAGAATCGATGAATTTGGGTTTACACTGGTTGATCTTAGCAAGTTAGCTTATGCGAACGAACCTTTCATCATGGCATCTCAAGCAAAACAAGTGTTTTATGTCACAGATCCTTGTAATAAAAGATGGTCAGTGGTTATACAAGGAAAGGTGCATGGTAGTGATGAAAATCAAGATGCGAATCTTGATATTTCCGAAACTCCTCCTTTCTCAACAAATGTGCCTAGCTTCATTGAAGATAATGAAGAGGATGATGTGCATGCTATTCGCATAGATCATGAAGAAGGGATATGGGAGAACTAGTAAGGTTTTTTTATAAGTTAATTCGACATTACTTTGATTTCTAGTTGTTTTTATTTTGTGCTTGATTTGATTTCTAATCATCTTTATTTTGTGTAAACAGGTACATGGCTGATTCAACCGAAAACCCTTCTTCATCTAGTAATCCTAGTAAAAGAAGAGTTAGAGGTCCCACTATGATGGCACAAATTGACAAAGTTCATCAAACGGGTGAAAGGATAAAGGTTGAGTTTGATCCAAGAACTTATGAATGTATCGGTGTTGGTAAAAATGCTTCTACTTTTAAGAGTTATGTAGCATCTCTTGCTCGTAAGAGATGTAGTATTTTAATAGATGAGTGGAAAGACATAAGTAAAGATATAAAAGATGCTATTTGGGTTGATGTTCAGGTATTTTAAATTCAAAACTTTATTATATTTTATAATCACATACTAACAACATATGCCATATACTAACAACAAATTCTTTATGTATATGTGTAGGCTCATTTCACTATTCTAGAATGTGATGATCCAAAGAAGGATCCGTTGAAGGATGAATGGATTAAATATGCGGGAGAGCGATGGAGAGGTTTTAAGACACAACTCACAAAAGAATATATTAGAAATCCCAAAGAAGGTTGCACTCCTGCATATGTCAAGTATAATTATATTAAAGAAGAAACATGGAAGGAGTTTCTGAAGTCTCGAGATACCCCTGAATTTAAGGTTAATAAGCATTATATTAATTTTTTCATGCATAAATTTTTTATTATGTTTAGCGATTAATAACTTTTTAAGTTTATAATAGGAGAAAAGTCAAAAGGGTATGGAAAGTGTGGCTAGAAATGTATACCCACACGTATTATCTCGTGGAGGGTATCGCTTGCTTGAGGAAAAAATGAAAAATGAAAGGAGATCATCGAGAGATGATTCTACAGTAGATGATAATGGTAGTCCATCTCCACCGTCACGCCATGAAGTATGGAAGAGAGCACGACAAAAGAAAGGGGGAGAATACACATCACATTCTACACAAGTTGTTGCTGAGAAGATTGTAAGTAAAATTTGGAAAATACTTCAAGTATCATTATAGTTGTGATTGATAAAAACTATTGAAAATAGTTTTGATTTTTGAATTTTGTAGGATTTTCTAGTTGAGGAAGCTGAAAAGGGTGTCTTTGTTTCGGATGGACCTAACGATATCTTAACAGTAGCCATTGGAACATCTGAGCATGGAGGTCGTGTTCGTGGTGTTGGAAAACACCATAAAATTAGCACTTTTTTTGGAAGGTCGTCTTCACGTCAAAGACAACATATGGATGTACAAGAACAACTAGCGCAATTTTCTTTGGAATTGGAAGCAAAGCTTAGAGCTGATTTTGAGCAAAAGTTGGTCGAAGAGCGTAAGGTGTTGCAACAATCTTTTATGGAGACACTTAGGTCTATGGGTCTCTCGCAAAGCACCGAAAATAAAAAATGCATTGAACAAATGGAAGTTGTCGATGGAAGCGGAAGAGGAAGTTGTTCAGCTGCAAAAGGAAGCACAAAAGAAGTGGAAGACGATGTTCAGAGATTGTTACTCATGGTTCTGAAAATGGGCGACACACACTTGGAATTAAAATTAAGTCATTGTGCAAGTGTCATTAATTTTTATATGTCAGCTAAGTGTATCAGAGAGTTATTGGTGGGTTTTCAATGGCTTGACGTGTCTATTCTGCAAGTTTGGTCCACGTAAGTACATTTTCTTTTTTTTATTACTGTTAATACATATTAATATGTTATATCTCTCATCACTTTGACTCTAATATTTACTTTAAAATTATTCAGGTATATTCATCGTGTATGTATTGATAATTCCACATCGGAAGTATATGGATTTATGGACCCTGCTAGGTGTGTGTATGTTGATAATATGCAAAAAAATGAAGCAGAGGTTAAAAAATACATACAAGATAAGTTACGTGACGAAAACAGAGTGTGTCACTTACTACCATTTATTCATGGGTAAGTTTGTATGAAATTGTGTTTTTTATTTTTTTATTTTTGATAACATAGATATTTGATGTGTTTTTTGTGTTTCCACGCACACGTACAGAGACCATTGGAAATTAATAGTCATTTGTCCAAGAGACAATATTGTGGTCGTCTTTTGTTCACTTCATCGGGAACTTAATCCAACCATGAAGAAAATTGTTACAAAGTAAGTTTATATTTTATGTGAATTTTGTTATAGTATATGTTATATCTCATATACATAAAATTTTACAAAAGTAATTTCATATTTTATGTTGCTCTATATGAATTTTTTTCTGAATTAGTGCTTTCGGGGTTTATCAAATGGCAAATGGAAATAGAAAAAAGGCTACATGGCTCCAACCCAAAGTAAGCGTCATGTAAATTATAATTTTATATTTAATTTTATCATAAGTATTCACTAACTGTGTCATTTATTTTAGACAAGGCGACAACATAACTCTATTGACTGTGGATACTATGTTATGAAAAATATGTTGGATATTGTCTCTGCCAACATAACCGAGTCTTGGTTGCAGGTAAATAAAAATAACTTTACTTTGTTATTTACTTTGCATTTGCAACTTAAGGTGAATTTTCAAAGAATGACTTTATATTGCTATTTACATATTGTAGGTATTTGATGATCCAACAGAATTAACACAAGATGATTTGTATGATTTGCGACTCCGTTGGGCAAAATGTTTCTTTGAGTTATATAAAAATTAAACTTTATATGGTGAGTTATATAGAATTTTCTATGTATACCTAATTTGAGTTTCTTGACTTTGGTATTGTCTGCTGATGTTTATTGTTATTATTATTTATTGTCAGCAAATGTGATTTTGGTGTTCTCTACCGAAGCTAGCTACAACGGATTTCTTGTGGATTGCATGTTGGTATTCAAGTGTGGTAAAGGACTTATAAATGGTTGAATATTGAAGAAAGAATATGTGTACTAGATTAGTACTTTTGTTCCTCAATTAGTACTTTTGTAAATCAATTTCTTGTGGATTGAACAGTTGTATGTATACTAGATTAGTACTTTTGTAAATCAATTTGTTCATGTTGAAGAATATGTGTATCCTAGCTATTTGGTGCAATGAAACTAAAAGGTTAGTTGAAAAAATATAAAAAATTGCATACCAAATAGGGACTAAAATTTGGTATGTGTGATGTTGGAAAAATATGAAAAATTAAGTACCAAAAAAATTACAGGGATTCCATATCGATTCGGATAAAAATTAGTCTAAATATTTAAGAAAAACAACCTACATTTAACATCGGGTGGGTGTGCTTAAAAACCGATGTAAAAACATAAATTTTGAAGACACGTAGCACACCTTTTACATCGGGTCAAAAAGGAAACCGATGTAAAAAAACATACCTATGACACCTTTTACATCGGGTCAAGAAGGCAACCGATGTAAAAAAACACACCTATGACACCTTTTACATCAGTTCTACTGACCAACCGATGTAAAAAATCACCTATGACACATTTTACATCGGTTCCGAATAACAACCGATGTAAAAAGTGCTTTTTTTTATAAAAAAAAATTAATAATAATATATTTCACATCAGTCTTAACTGTCAACTGATGTAGTAGATGTATTTTTTACATCGGTCTATGACCCGATGTAAAATGTCTTTGATTTACTACATCGCTTGGCTTTACATCGCACCCAGACCCGATGTAAAATGTGTTTTTGGCCCGATGTAAAAAGTCATTTCTGCACTAGTGTTTTAATACTATACTTATTATTTTAATAAAAAGTACAATCAAACACATAAATATCATGTCATTTACTTTTACTTTAATATTATTTTTCATTCTATTACACCCTTTATTATTTATTAATTTATTTTAAATTATTTTTATAACTATTTTTCTTTTATAATATAGTATAGTCTTTTCAAAAAATTAATTATTATTTTAATTTTTCTTCTTTATACTATAATTAATAAACCATAATTTTGTAAAATCACTTAACATCTCTATGTCATATAAAATTAACTTCATTTATTTATTTTCGTGAAATTATCAAAAATATCGTATATAGTATTTTATTTTTATAGAGACAATCAATATTAGAGTGTACTTGAAGATTATTATTTTTTGTTTTGATAAAAACTAAAACGAGTATAGTGAAAGAAAATTCCATGATCCAAGTTATTTCGTTCACCGTACCGTAAATTGCATTCATTATACCACACGAAACTACCTACTTGTTTCTATGCAAGTGTAAATTGTTACTTTGCAAAATCAAAAGTAGATAAAATATAGAAGAGAACAAAGGAGTTGAAATATTTATATTCATATAAAATAAATAATGTATAGTATATTAGTATATGAATATGAATATGAATGATAGGAATGTAACACACTTGTAGAAATATGGAGTTCAAGTATTTTCTAACTCTGATGTTCTTATGGGCTTTGTTCAAATCTTTGCCTTTTGTAACTTGTGATGGTGGGTTAATGAGAGTTAGTCTGAAAAGAAGGAGTTTAGATGTTAATACTCTTAATTCTGCAAGGATTAAGGAAGTTTATAATCATAGAGGATTAAGAGATGATAATTATTTATCAACTGATATTGTTTATCTAAAGAATTATCTTGATGCACAATATTTTGGTGAAATTGGTATTGGATCACCTCCACAAATGTTCAAAGTTGTGTTTGATACTGGAAGTTCAAATCTTTGGGTTCCATCTTCAAAATGCAGATTGTCTGTAAGTTTCACAATTATTTTATTAACCTTATTTTGAATGCAACATATGAGTAATTGTGTTTAACTATGTGTGCAGATTGCTTGCTACATACATTCTAAGTATAGGTCCAAGTTGTCTAGCACTTATACAAAAAATGGTAATTTTGATTTGACAAAAAGTTTAATCTAAACTCTATTTGAGTGTTCATACTTAGAAATTTTTGTTTGGGAAAATGTTCAGGAACATCATGCAAGATCCCTTTTAGCCGCGGAAACATTCCTGGCTTCTTCAGCCAAGATAATTTAAAAGTCGGGAACATCATTATCAGAGATCAGGTCAATAAATGGTTTTATACACTTTAACTATATGTAGCACCGACACTTTATACTAAAGGTATGTCTGATGTCTGATCTGTAGGAGTTTACTGAGATTACGAAGGAAGGATCATTGGAATTTTTAGCAATGCATTTTGATGGGATACTTGGACTTGGATTTCAGGATATATCAGTTGGACAGGTCACACCAGTGTGGTAAGGCCTTTTTTTTCCAGAGTTTTTTTTTTATGATATCTAAAAAACAATGCTAAGTTGTGTTAATAAATACAGGTATAATATGATTGAACAAGGGTACATGAGTCAAAAGATTTTCTCTCTTTGGTTAAACCAAAACCCAGATTCAAACATAGGTGGTGAAATTGTGTTTGGTGGTATTGATTGGAGACACTTTAGGGGTGACCATACTTATGTTCCAGTTTCCCAAAAGGGCTATTGGCAGGTATGTTATATTTACAAATTACAATTACATTCATTTATGTATGTATGTATGTGTGACTCTTATCAACATTAACTTTTGGTGTTTTTTCATCCTTAGATTGATGTTGGAGACATTCTACTTGAAAACAATTCAACAGGACTATGTCAAGGAGGTTGTGCTGCGATTATTGACTCCGGAACATCGTTGATCGCTGGTCCAACCGTATGAAATCTTAACATCATACTTGTATATTGTTACTATCCTTTTATATTTAGTGTATTTTTCTTACTTGGAACTTGTTTTTAGAGCGTTGTTACTCAAATTAACCACGCCATTGGAGCGGAAGGATACGTCAGTTATGAATGTAAAAACCTCATTCATAACTACGGCGATTTGATATGGGAATTCATAACTTCCGGGGTTTGTTCTCTAGTGCTATAATCCACCTACTCAAAAAAAATTTATGATATGAACCGAATTTTGTTTAACCACTGTTTATGTATTTTGTTATGTTTTCAGTTAAGACCTGAAATTATATGCGTCGACATTGGACTCTGCTCGCGTAACGGATCACATAGAACCAAGTACAAATTTTTGTTTACATTTGATTCTTTTGACACGCATTCTTTCTTTGCTTCAACTCTAACTTAATCATGCAGCGAAGATATTGAAACAATGGTAGACGAAGAAAACTTGGGTGATTCGCAACGAAGTAGAGAGAGTCCATTGTGTACATTATGCGACATGATTGTGTTTTGGATTCAGGTTCAGCTTAAGCAGAGGAACACAAGAGAAAGAATATTAAATTACATTGATGAGGTAATTAATTATTCTATAACAATACTTTTCCAAATTAAAGAGTTAGACTTAATTAATTGTTTTCAACATTCTTGTGTAAAAAGCTATGTGAGAAGCTTCCGAATCCGGTGGGACAATCATTTATAAACTGTGATAATATTCCAACAATGCCGCAAATTATATTTAAGATTGGAAACAGATCATTTCCGCTATCTCCAGAACAGGTTCGAGTTTCGTATATTATCTAGTATTATTTAAGTGTATATATATATATATATATATATATATATATATATATATATATATATATATATATATATATATATATATATATATATATATATATATATATATATATGTTTAATATTTTTGGGTTTGGTTTTTCAGTATATTCTGAGAGTTGAAGAAGGGTGTTCTAGTCTGTGTTATGGAGGTTTTGTGGGTATAGATGTGCCTCCTCCACAGGGTCCTCTATGGTAAAGAATGATTATTAATTTATGATATGGTTTTGATTTGATGGTGTATGATGATTGATGATGATGGTTGAATATTGTAGGGTTCTTGGAGATATATTTTTGGGGGCATACCATACAGTTTTTGATTATGGAAATCTTCGTGTAGGATTTGCTGAAGCTGCCTAGTCATAAAAATAGAACAGAGGTCTTTTTACATTTCATAGTCATTGTAACTAATAAGGCATATGATGAAAAAAGGTCAAAATGTTGAAATTTGCACCAGCCGGGAATCGAACCCGGGTCTGTACCGTGGCAGGGTACTATTCTACCACTAGACCACTGGTGCTGTTGTTACTGAGGCTTAATAATATTTTATTTGATCAATATCTATATTTTAAAGCTATCGATCATAGTTTTTGATTGAGTTCTTAAGTGTTATTGGCATTGAAAGTACAAAATGTAAAAAATTAAAAAAAGAACATTTAAATGGGAATTATAACTTTTGTACTTTAGTTCATGTATGATAGTTATCACTTCCTTGTTTCAATTTTTTTTTATCATAACTATAATTTTGTATGAAAATTAGTGAATTAGTGAACAGTTTAACAGGGTCATGATATTATATATTAAAACGAAAATATATATTTATTTCTGTTCTTATATATATATATATATATATATATATATATATATATATATATATATATATATATATATATATATATATATATATATATATATATATATATATATATATATATATATATATATATATATATATATATATATATATATATATATATATATATTTTTTTTTTTTTTTGGAACTTCAATATATAAATAAATTAATATAAACGAATAGTATGTATGTTTATTCTGATTTTGAAAATATATAATAATTAATATTTTTAGATTTTTAAAATGAAAATTTATTAAATCTATTTATATATTTTATTTTACTAAAATACATTAGATAATATATACAAAAATATCAAATAACCCACAACTCAATATATATATCTATACATAAAAAAAATAATACATACCTTTTAGTGAAGAAATCAAATCAAAATATAGAAGTTTTAATCGATCAATAGAGTTTGTTAAGTCTTGATCAATTTTTTGTTGAAATATTAAATCTAATCAAATTTAATCTAACCAACTCTAATCAAATCTAATATTTCAACATACTCTCCATAATCTAAGTTGTCGAACCTATGTTAATCATAGTCAATCTGAATTATTTCTAATTTCTTTCTCAAATTTAGGAATCTGTCGATCTTCAATCATTTGGTGAAAATGTCAGCCAACTGTGCTTCACTTGAGCAGTGTTTAACTTCAAGTTCACCTCGATTTACTTTTTCTCTTAAGAAGTGAAATCTAGTTTCGATATGCTTACTTCTTCCATGCAAAACTGGATTCTTTGCCAGATTTATGGCAGAGTTGTTGTCGATTTGCAACACAAGAGGTTTCTTCACTTTGACCTACATTTCTTTAAGTATAAATGTGATCCAAATTGCTTGACATGCAACATAGGATCCTGCTATATATTCAGCTTCACATGATAATAATGCCACCACATGTTGCTCTCTCGAGCACCATGAAATTGGGGCACCAAAGACTTTAAAGAAATATCCAATAGTGCTTCTTCGATCTTCCTTATCTCCGCACTAGTCAGCATCTGAATAACAAGTTATCATAACTTCTTTGCTTTCAGAGTCTCGTCAAAATAAAATTCCATATTTTATCGATCCTTTTAAGTACCTCAGGATTCTTCTTGTAGCCTTTATGTGTGATACCATTGGTTCACTCGTGTATCTGCTCACTAATCTGACTGAGCAACATATATCAGGTCGACTATTGCACACATATCTTAGAGATCCGACAATCTGTTTGAACAAAGTTGCATCGACTTTATCTTCCTCTCCATGTTTCTCCAACTTTAAATTTGGTTCGATGGCCGAAGATGCAGGAGTCGAATCATCCATTCTGAACCTCTTGAGTATCTCTTTGACACACTTTCTTTGATGTAACACCATGCCTTGCTTCGACATTTGAAATTCCATGCCTAGGAAGTATGACAACTTTCCTAGATCCAACATTTCAAATTCCTTCTTCATCAGCTCTTTGAACTTCGATAAGTTCTTAGAACTATTTCCAGTTACTAGCAAGTCATCGACATATAAGCAGATTATTGTTATATCTTGTGCCACAACTTAAATATAGACATTATACTCAGATTTTCATTTTATGAATCTCAATTCAACCAAGTATGAGTCGATCTTCTTGTTCCATACCATAGGTGCCTGCTTGAGACTATAGAGCGCTTTGTGAGACTTGTATACTTTACTTGTTTCCTAATGAATCACAAACCCAGAATGTTGTATTGACCAACCTTGCTTGCATGCCAATGCCACCACTAGTCGAACAGTTTCCAATCTTGCGACAAGTGCAAATACTTCAGAGTAGTTGAGTCCTGCTCTCTGGAGAAATCCTCGAGCCATCAGCATTGTGCTTTAACTTAAACACCTATTTTACTTTGATAGCTTTTGTATGAGCTAGCGATTCGATCAACTCCCATGTGTTTGTTTCTTTCAATTGCTTGCAACTCTTCGACCATAACAGACTTCCGTTGTTTATCTTTGAATACTTCACTATAGTTGATTGGTTCAACACCTGCAAGTAAAGCAAAATGGACCAGTTCCCCATCTATTGTGACTTCATCATCACCAACCACTTCATAGTCTTGAAGTCTTGCTTGACAAGCTCTAGTTCTTTGAGGTCTCTGACTTATGTCAGTCATATCCTCTTCGACTTCGACTGTGTCGAGAATGTCAGAAACTGCTTCAACTTCTTCTTCGACTAGAGTATCAACAATATCTTCGACTTCGACATCATTACTTGCTTCGTCAAAATCATAGCTTATTAGTGACTTGTCAATTACATTACTAGAATTCCAATCTCGGGCAGAATTTTCATCAATCACAATGTCTCAACTTATCACAATCTTATAATTAATTGGGTTGAACAACTTGTATGCTCCAGTTTTATGATATCCTACCATAATCATAGGTTCACTCTTATCATCAAGCTTCGTTCTCCTAGCGTCATGAATATGCTTGTAGTAAATAGAGTCAAATACCTTCAGATAACTCACTAATGGTTGTTTGCCACTCCATACTTCTTCAGAAATCTTATTCTTCAGCTTCTTGGTAGGGCACATATTCAATATATAAACAGTAGTCAAAATAGCTTCTCCCCATAAGGATTTAGGCAAATTCTTCTGCTTCAGCATGCATCTCACCATGAAAATAATCACTTTTATCCTTTGAATGCTTCATGGCTTCAAAGAGGTTGAAGCACACTTATTCATCTTGAACTCTAACCTTCATTAGACCATTATCAATGTCAATCATCATTCTTACGGTCTTCATGAAAGGTTGGCCTAGAATCAATGGTGGATCATCATCTTCTTCCATGTCAATGATAGCAAAATCAATCGGAAATAAGAATTTGTCCACCTTCACTAGAATATCTTTAGTTAATCCATGAGGACAGGTTGTAGACATGTCAGCCAATTATAATGACATCTTTGTTTATTTCATTCCAATGTTTCCTAACCTTTGCACCACGAACAATGAAATTAAGTTGATGCTAGAGCCCATATCAATCAATGCCTTTCCAACTTTTACATTTCCTATTGTAACAGGTAATGTAACCCTTCCCGGATTACTTTCTTTCTGTGGGAGAGTTCTTCATTGCACTACAACTAACATCAAGAGTGATGGTTTCTTGATCAATATACCTTCTTTTCTTTGTGAGGATGTCTTTCATGAACTATGCATATATAGGCATTTGCTCAAGAGTTTAGGAAAATGGAATATTAATTTCAACCAACTAAATACATCCAAAAACCGAGCATAATGCCTAGCATTGTCCTTCTTGGAAGGAGCTATTGGGAAAAACCCAATTCCCACATTGGTTAAAGATACAATATACGAAGTGTTTATATAGAGTGACACCCTTCACCTTATCAACTGGTTTGTAGGATTAAGTTAGGTCAAACTTTAATTCTATCATGGTATCATGAGCCTATTAATTTGGGCCATCCACCATTTATATATGCGCACCAAGGCCAAAAAAAAGTGCTAGGCGCAAGGGGTTGTATTGGAAAAACCCTGTCTCATATATCGATAATTTAGGTCACCTACCATTTATATCCACGCACCAAGCCCAATAGTGTTAGGCGTGAGGGGTGTATTGGGAAAACCTCAAGTCCCATATTGGTTAAATATACAATATACAAATGGTTTATATAGAGTGGCACCCCTCATCTTATCAATCGATTTTGTAAGTTTGAATTAGGCCAGACTCTAATTCTATTAGGAGCATGTAGATATGGAAATTTTGGAATGAGCATAATCTCCTTTTGAATCTTTTTCTTATTTTCCTCTTTTTCTCCTTTTCTTTTTTATATCTTTTCTTTTTAAATTTTCTCTTTTTCAACTTATTCTTCCTCAACATCTTTTTCTACTTCAATCTCATATTTTTCCTTCTCCTTTTCTACTACAGCTTTCTCTTCCTCAACTTCACCACCAATGCCCATGTCAATTTTTATACCACTATGAGTTAGAATAGACTTACAATGCTCCTTCAGGTTGTCATGAGTGTTTGTAGAAAAAATTCCTTTGTGTTGATCGATTAACTCCTTAGACAATTGACTAAATTACGTCTCAAGATTTTTGATGGTCGCGTCGGTACTTTTCTGATTGGCTATGGACATTTGTATGAATTGATTCATGGTATCCTCTATTTTTTATTTGCCACATTGAGGTTGAGAATTTTGATTGTAGTTTTGATAAGGATTTTGTCGGTTGGGCGGTCCGGCTTCTTGTCGCCACCCTTGGCTATATTGTTGGTTTTTTCCTTTTTGATGATAACCTTGATACTTTGATAAGGTGTTTGCCTCTGTTGGTATTGATTTTGATTCCCTATATAATTTCTTCTTCATTTTCCATAGGACAATATCTCGAAGGATGATCACCATTGCAAAGCTCACAAAATGATACTTGTTGATTATTGCTCGACACTCTTTGCATATCCTTGAATTGTGGAGGGAGCTTAGAATTTTTTTCCTAAGTTCCTCAACTTGTTGAGATAGAAATTTATTTTGTGCCAAGATTGCA